TGCATTTTTAAAAGGCGCATAAAAGCGCCGTTACTCCTCATCCGGGGCAAATATTGTTTCGCCGGCGCCGCGTCTCTTTTTGCGGCGCCGAGTGCAAATTTCACTGCCGCTCGAGCCAAAAGTCGAGAGAGTCATAAACGAGATAAATTATTCAGGCGGCGACATTAGACGGCCGTTAAGGACGCTCACAAATGGAAACGGAAAACACGCTTTCTCGGCACCTAAAAGGCAAGGAGGAACGGAAATATGCAAAAGATGGTCTGGGAACGACTCGCAAAGTTGGGCACTTTATTATTTTAACCATTTTTTATTTATAATAATTGCCAAAGTTTTTAATTTTGGTTTAAATCAGTAACCATGGAAACTATTATTTTTAATAAAATACTTTTATTAGTTAATTGAAATATTGAATTTACAGTAGTAATTCTTCAGTAATAATAAAATTCACCTTGTTATTGATTTGATGTTTTTTTTTTATTCTAAGAAAAAGATAAAAAAAAGGGGTAACATTTTTATCTTACTCATTATTTTTTTAAAAATTTTGTCAAGAAAAATATCTATTTAAAAAGTCACGCTTGCAATTTCTACCTAGTTTCATTTCTCGTGACAAATAGTTTTATTCTTCGCAGACAAAAGCTGTCTGGGTCTCTCTAGTTTTACGACTCACTTCATAGATTCCAATTTAGTGGCATGAAAGGTGGCTTTCATTTGGATTGGCTCTCGGGCGCCATCGTTTGAGTTATTACCGGCCGTTAATTCGAAAGGCACGTCTCTGGCCGCGAAAAGCCGCCCCGTGTATTAAACTGCCACCCCTATTTTTTTTCTCTCTTTCGCGAGCCTCTTTGTATTCATTGCGGCGTCTTGCTGTGTTCTGAACGCGCCGTTTTTCCACCAGTCACTGTAATAATAACGGACGCGCCGCTGGTCAGTGGCATTACTAGCCTGACTATTTATGAACAATAAATTTAACTCTAATTCATTGCTGCAATTTGTAATACAAATATAAAAATGAAATCAAACAGAAGAATCGTAAAAAAAAATACATATATAATAAAATTTGCTTTTCCTGATATTTTTGCCATGATTGAACGTTACGATTGATTTTACAAAATATTAATTATAAAAAGATTAAATTAATAAAAATGCAACATTATATGAAGAAAGTAAAAAATGTTTTATATTTTCATAATATAAATTTTTAGATTTTGTGAATTTTCTCCAAAACATTTTTTTTTCATAGTTATCCATGCCATGGGTTGGGCGTAGAATTCAACTATGATTTATGAAGATATTAATTTAACATGTAAAAAAGCAATCTTTGCAGTTATTTGGTTTTTCCACATATTCTTTGAATGCCCCTGGTGCAAACTGACATGTAGGGTGTGTGTCGAAGTCACTCCCTTTCGGCACCGCACCGAGGGCTGCTGCACCCCCGACCCGGCTGGCGTCTCAACATCGTGGCAACAGAGATTTATGGGGGCAGATAAGGAAAAATAATAAGCACATAACTCAAGATGAAATCGATGATTGTAGTATGTGCGACGCCGCGTGGCCTCCTCCGCACAGCCCTGCTTTGGGGCCGACGCGAAATTAGATTTCCGCCGCCATAAATTTGCAGACAAGTAGCTTTTTGTGCTTGGCCTTCTGCTGCTTTTTCTTTCAAAAGAATTTGTTCAACCTCTGAGAGGGTCTGCTTTTTTTAGCTTGCTCCTCTGAGTGGTTAAAATACTGATATTAAATTGGCTATAATTTTCAATTTTGCTTTCAATCGGGGACATGGTAAAGATTAATTAATTATTTATTCTTATTGATACTTATTCGTGTCATTGAGATCGTTAGAAATCCAATTTGATTTAACTAAAATGCAAGTTTAAAATTAAAACGACTGCGGTCCGACGAAAGTAGGATATTCAATTAGTGAAGTTTACAAGTGCAGATGAGAGGTAGGAGATTCATTATATAGTGAAAAAAAACTCAATATAATAGAACGTATTGAAGGAAATTTAGGGCATTTTAATAAGAAAAGAAAATTACTAATTATTTAGAAATAATTACCAAAATATTAAAAATAATATATTATTATCGTTTCAAATTGAATTATGTATTTATTAATTATTAATTTAAAATAAGCAAACTGTAATTTTATATTATATTTATTTAGTTGTATAAATATTTGAGCTCAAAACTTTAAATTCATCAGTCAGAGGTTTTTTTTGTGAGAATTTAAAACCCAAAGAAACCACTCGAAACAGGACATAATTAAATTAGTACTCAAACTAATCGTCTTGAAGTAGAATTACGTTCCGAGATGACGAGATATTTGAGACAAAGCCGGTGTAAAAAAGTTGGAAAATTCCTGTTGTGATAATGAACAATTTTAATTGAGAGCGAAATTTTCCCAAAATTAAAATTCTGTGTCCGTATTTTTTGTGACAGCAGGTTTTTTTATCTAGTCAATAATTACTAGTTTGGTAAAGTGCTTAAAATAATGAAGCTAGCAATATTGCATTGCCAATTCATCAATATCTCCGAAACCTTGCGCTGAAATTTTTTTCCAAAACCTGTAAAATTTAAAAAAAAATAATGATTACAAAAAGAAATCCACAAATTTATACTCTTAGAAATTCAAATATTCTTCAAGTAAGTTTATTATCATTATTTTTTTTTGCATTTTAAGTTTCGTTTGCTTTGTTTCATTGTTTATGCAAAACGATCATGATAAACTGCGTGCATAAATGTAAATGTCGCTGCAGGAAAACAATTTTGCAAGGGTTGAACACAAATTTGGCGCCGACACGCACACCGAGAGCAGATTTACTCGACTTTTGTGGCGCACGTGCACAAAACAAGCGGAATTAGCTGGCAAAAAGCAGAGAAAGAGAGACCAGATTGTTTTGCTCGCGCACACGACGTGCAAAATTGTACGCGCCATAAATTAGCACCTCGGCTTTTAATTCCACGGCGACTTGAGCAACACAAAAGTGGGATTTATCGCCGGCCAGATTAACGTGTAATGAGGCTGATTGCGCTCTACTTTTTCCTTTTCAACTCCGTAGTTTCATTTGCAACAAACATACGTCAGCGATTGTGATTACGCGTCAAATAAATTATTTGTCTTTTTTCCGAGAGTGTTTTTGTTCGCTCGTGCATGTTTGTTGTTTTATGCCGGCGCGGCCTTTTGTGTTGGACGCGGCGCAGAGAGAATGGCCGACGAGCGGGTAATCAACCTTAATGCGTCCTTGCGAGCTCGATTGGCGAGCAGATCGATCGGCGCATTTAATCGAGATGGACAGGGAAATGGGCGGCCGAAATTGCGAATAAAGTGCTTCGTTGCCATAGAAAAATAGAGGAAGGCAAACACAGACGACATTGAAGGTTTTTTTTAATGAAAAACTGGTTATTAATAAAAAAAAATCGCTCATTTTAGGAGGGTAATTTTTGCGAATTTCATCTTTTGAATAAAAAAAAAAATCAAAAATTCCAATTCAAAACAGAGTAATTTATTTCCTTGGAGTAAATCCTAATTCTGATGAGGTGTGACGCGACAAGTTGAAAAGGGTTCATCAGTTTTATCAAAGATCAGAATCGCGCCATGATATAAAGTTAAGTTGTCATTTTGGCAACCGTTCTCGGTTCGTTCTGGGTCGGCAATTTCTGGCAGCGCACCTGTGCACTCTGATTTATGTGTTTGCAGGCCCTGCCGTGTTGTACAATTTGCATCTACGTCCTATGTCTGACCACAGGTGAGGGACACGGCGCAGCATTAGTGCAAATTAAGTGCTTATTTATGCATCTGGACTTCAACCACAGCCAACTTAGCTGTCATCCATTATTATTTTGAGGGAAATAAATGTTATATCACGCAATCTGAAGAGGAATCTCTATTTTTAGGAAAATTAAAAGTTCTGTCAATTGAAAGCAGAAACAATTAATAAAAAAAAAACTTACAAAGTATAAATAAAAAATTGCAAAATTGAATATTAATATAGCATATTTAAATTAAGCTCTTTAATTATTAAAAACTTTTAAAATAAATTTAAATTTAAAAAGCAAAATGTTTGAGAAATAAATAAATAACCATTTAAATTTAAATATAAATATAGGAAACTATAAATTTGTTTAATTAAGTTGATCTGTTTCTTTTTTAATTCAAATTTTAAACCTATTTTCATTCTGCCTTACGGCGATAAGTTGCATGCAGTGTATTTCTGAAAGATTTTCCAAAAGCCATTCTGCCTCATCAACACAACAGTCATGCAGGCGCCGAGCATAATATCATCTCAATATCGCACCTGCCCCCATAGCATCAGCCCTATTGTTTTAATATCGCTAATGGCTGCAGAATTCCTCTCGGCGGCCGCAAATGTAAATGGAAAAGCCGCGCGTGGCGTGTTCGGAATGCGATCAGCGCTCAAAACTGGCGCCGGGAAAGTGACACTTTATGTGCCACGGCACATGATAAATGGAAGAGCCGCCGAAAATGGAAAATCCGCATGCAGACGTGCGCGTGTCACAACTTTATTGTGTATCGGAAAAATGCTTTTTGTTTTGGTATACGATAGGGGAGGGAATCTCGCTCTTCATCTCTCTCGTCTAAGAAAATGTTGCCGAAAGGAGCTGCGAAATAATGTGATTACACAGGAAAAGAGGATTCCTTAAGACGAGATAAAGGGGAAAATGAAGTGATATTAAAATGTTACCAAATAGCAAAATGGTTTGATGAATTTTGTCATGTAATTTATATACTTTTAGCTTTTTCTTTTATTACTTTTGTTTCACTTGCCCAACATCAGGGACAACCACATTTTAGAAAAACAATTTGTTAATGAAAAAAAAGAAACGGAACCATTTGAAAGGATATTTTTTTTATCAATCTTCCTTCCCTATTTTTTAAACTTTGTTTCCTGTATTTAATTAATTTGGATAATTTCGCGTATTGTTCAAAGCCAACCTCGATTAAAAAACTTCTTTGAAATTAAAAATGAAATGATTTGTTGCAGAATTGAACACGACGTCCGAGCCAAGCATCGAATTGGAAATCTCGTCGCAAGTGCTGCCCGAGGACGCGGACAAGGACGCGGAGGACATTCTGTACTCGCGCGACGCCTCCTTTTCGGCGCACCTTGACCCGGGAAACGACCTGGCCGCCTCCACTCCGCAACCGGAGGCGGCCGACGAAAGCTCGACGCAGCCTGAGCGGGTGCGGTTCGTGCCCCCGAGCACCACCACCGCGACCCCTCAGTGTTTGCTCGAGTGCGGCGTGGGCCTTTGTTTGGACGTGGCCGCCCCCAACGGCCGCAGACAGCAGCGATGCCAGTGCCCCCTTGGCCGCACCGGCACCCACTGCGAAATTGGTGAGTACTTCAAAAGAAAATAATGCAAACAAACTAAAAAAGAAATATTTTTTATTAAATAATTCTGAATTTTCTTACAATTTTTCAATTAAAATTATTTGGAAAAATATTAAATAGCGTAATTTGGGCAAAAATAATTTATAAAAATTATGTTTCTTTTTACAAAGATATTTTATTTAATTAGTCCTTGATGAAAAATTGCTTTGAATAAAATAAATACTCAATGGCATTATCGGTTTTGATTAAAGTCTGAATAAAAAAATCTCCAAAATTTTAAAAATAACTTATTTATTTAATTAAATTATTTTGAAACGATTCATTAACAATTTAAGATAATTATTAAATTGTGTTTTTAATTGTAAGTGCAAATCAGGATCAATTTTGACATGCTTTAAAAACTGCATAGAAAATGCAGGACAAATTTACTTTTTTGGAAATCTAATAGACTGTTGCTGTTGTTGGTGATAGATAATTAAACATTAAAATTTGTTGTTGATCAGTGAAAAATCTTTGCCAGCTTATTAAAAAAGTATGCTTCGGAGTATCGTTGTCTCTGCGGTTTGTGCAGAAAGTCATTGTTGTGCGCATCACATTGCAAACTCTGATGCGAAAAGTTTCCTAATTAAATTATTGCCTGCGTCTGGAGCGCGCTCAAGTAAATAGAACTCCTGCGAATGCGACCAAAAGCACTTCAGCTCGCCACTTACGCCGCCAGCAACATGTTGCAAACTCGGAACAATCAGGACAAATTGGCCTCACTCTCAAAATTAATTATGCAAAATTTTTTCAAAATTCCTCTGCATTTATTTTTAATTTTCCCAGCAGGATGAAAATGATCTGGCAGCGTAATTTATTTGCGAGCACGCGTGTGTTTTTAATTGTTGGTAATTCAAAGGCCGCGCGTGGAAAGGTTTAATTACAAGATACACAACAGCGTATTATAATTAAAACTCTCGGCCCTTTGTTTTCAACTGCAGCCGCTATTCGTCTCTCCTGTTGTGAGTTCCAACACAAATAAGTGCTGTACTGTGGTACGTGCATGACTCATTTTCGCGCTCTGTGTAATTGGATGCGTGTACGCGGCTCTAATAATTATTTCAGCGCAGAGAGCGCACGGCTGAAATTAAACTTTTTACGCGACAGGCCAATTTATTTTCTGGTGTATTTTGTTAATTAAAAAAGCGTCGGTAGTTTATTTCAACCTTAAATCCTCAATTTTTATTTTTTTCTTCGCAACACGCCATAGATAAGTTTAATAATTTATTAATTTTCTCTAAATAATAAACTTAAAGCTATATGATAATTATTTAATGATGCCTACAGATTTTTGCAATTAGTTATATTTACCATTCGTGTGTAACTTTTGAAGAACAACGACATCTTACATCAAAATTAATTCAATTAAAAACCAAAACTAAACACAAATAAATCTAAATTTTTATTATTTTATTATAGCTGCCATTTTTTCATTATTAATTTGATAATAATAATAAGCTGCATTATAAAAAAATGTATTATTTGTATTGAATTGTCGTTATATTAACCATAATCCACCTATTTATTATATGAGCTTGAGGACAGTAAACATCAAACACCAAAATTCCAAAAGTATTATTTTTTTTTGTCTGCTGAAACAATTCACAAATACAAAATTTCAGCTTGTGCTCTTGCTAATTAACCGGCAGGTCGAACAAATTTGACCACGGCTTTCCACAATGGGGCGCCGACCAGCCAGCCAATTAAAAGCGCCGCGGCCGATGGAAATTTTGCCATTGTCACACGCGCCCCATTTAGCAGGGCAATTTAGACCGCGAGCAACACTTTTTGCAAACCCTCTCTGCCGCCCCTAACGAGCTCGTCTGACGCCGCAAAAATCAAATTTCACCAGCAAGCACCACCGGGGCAGCTCGTCCGTTCAAATTCCATTAGTCGTCGACAACAACAAACCCTATTTTTATGGCCGGTCCATTACAATGCATTGGAGCTCATTAAGGCTGATATGTTCAATTTTTGAAATTCTCAACAACGCGTCCGTTTAGCCGTTGTCAAAAAATTGTAAGAATATTAGGCAAAGAGAAATTTTTTCAAAATAATGAGTTTAATTTAATTGAGAAATTGCTACCATTCAATTTAATTTAATTGATGTATATAATGAAATGCATTGTTTTGCACTTCGTGCTTTTTTTCACCGAAAGCTTCCAGAGAAATGCATATTATTTTGTAGTTTGGTTTTAGTTTTCAATGAAATTAATACTAATTTTGTACTATTTTTGGAAGCTGAAATAAATTTTAGAATTATATGTTATTAACTAAAAACTAATAAAGACTTTTTTAACCAATTGAATAATTAATTTGTTTTAATTTCTGTATTTTATTTAAAATATTTTTTTCTAATTTGTTTTTATTTATAATTAATTTCTATATTATAATAATAAAAATATTAATAAAATTGTTTACAATATTTCTATTATTATTCCTATGATGCATAGTACACTCATAAATTTCGATTGAAACAACCGTATAATCTCTACTCGGACGTGGACTTTGTTATGACTTGATTTGATTATTGAAAACAAAGAATGCTTTACTTATTCAAAGGAAAAAATAAAAACAAGAGTAGTTTGAATACGAATCAAAAGCCCAGCAGATGGCGCGGCTGGAGTAGTTTGGAAAACTGCCGAGAAAGTTTCCCTCCAAAGTCGTCACTCGTCCCATTGACATAAAAGATCAAGAGGCGCGCACGATAAATGTTGATTCGGAGCGAAATTTTTGATGACTCGTGCGTGCCCCGCTTTCCAAGACGCGCATCTCTCGAAAAAGTCCTCTCGCTTCCACCCTCCGTGCCGACAAATAAATGATGCAACCGGTCTCGGCACCGCCCGAAGGAAACGAAATAAATGTGCGAGAGAGCGTCTTTGCTACCATCCATCCATCCTTCGCTTTTCAATTTGCCATCACGGCTGCCAGATTGGCATCATCAGCGTCGTCGTCGTCGCATTCAGCACTATTTTGGGGTCCTTTCATTCAACAGCCGGGCCGACAGGCCACCCCTTACTTCCTCCGCTTCTTGTTATTCCACCCAGAGCCACTTGGCCAGGATTTGGTCGAATTAGAAAAACGACTGACCAGGTAGAAGCCACTTGGCCTATATCAAACTTGAAATAAAAATATAAAAACCTTCAAAAGTCAAACAATAAAGTTTGCCTAATTAATATAGTCAATAAATTGAAATTTAATCTCCAGGTGGATATTTTTTTTTCATCAAAAACAAATATTTTCAAAGAGGCAAAGTTTGGCAAAAATCTAAAATTTAAATTTAATAATAACAGAACGTCATATAAAATTAAATAATTGTGATTTTATTTCGATTTTTTTTTAGTTTTTTTAAAATACATAATTCCTCTTTTTCGGCTCCAGCTCGGCAAGGATCTGGAACAACTTTTGCGTTCATATTAAGTCTATGAGTTTTAATAAGTTCTTAACTGCAAATTCTCTCCCAGTGTAACTTTTTCCTGAATTAACTTGTGAGAGAATGAATTGCAAATTACATTTTTTTATTATAAATTTAAAATTCATTTTATTTTGTCCTGCTTTTTTCATTTAAATTTCAGGGCTTCCAGAGTTAAATATAAATTTAATTCATGTTGAAGCATCAAACAAAATAATTTACAACATGTCAAAAGAGTAGAAAACTCGCAAATTTAATTTATGTGATCATTACGAAATAATGTTCAACCAGCAGCCACGCCAGAATAAATTAACAGTGGCGAAAACACCAACGAATACGTTCAAACAGTTTGACCAGCAATCAAACAAAATCGCCATTAACGGCAAAATTAATGGAGCCGTTAATGCATCGCAATGAAAAACCCACGCGATCGCTCGCCGGCCGTCAATCATGCGAAACAACACCAATCGCCGCACCATTTATGGTCACGCATTAAATCATTCCGAAAATTTTCCGGATGCAAAATCGATCGCGAATCGGAAATAAACAGGGATTCGCTTTTATTGACCTCCTGTTGTTTGAGCCGTTCAAGAGCACTTTTGGTCCAGATGAGAGACAAAGACTTGCTCGCGCCGCAATGACCTTTGTGCCGTTTGCCCAGGATTATTGATTGCCCCCGGCATATGTTTATGATCACCACAAAGCAGCAGCAAGGTGCGCTGGCTGCGGAACAGCAACAACTGCCGACTGCAATGTTCTCTTTGTACATCATGACTTTTGGTACAGGCTAATGAATTATTCAGGTGTAGCGGGCTATTGTGAAATCCTCCGACAGAATGCTGAACGAGGAAAATGTGGGGTTTTTAGATGAATTTCTACTTTTATGAAATTTTAAAGGAAAAATTTCAATAAAAATGGGAAATAGTGGAAGTTAAAAAACCACCACCTGCGCAGAGATGAAATTTTGTCTGCTTGAATTATAATCTTTTTTATTTATTTATTTTTTTTTTTATTGTAGGGTCAGGCCAAGACAAAGTCTTGTCGGCTTGTGCCCTTTATTGGTGGTACAGAAGGCACCACCCAATTTATTTTTATTATTTTTTTATTTTTGGGTTCAACTTTATTTAAAAAATCATCATTTTTTGCTGGCATATCCTTAATTTTGGTCCACGCGATGATGACAACAAAGCTGAAAACTAAAAAAGAGAGAAAAGATTAAGAAAGGATATGGATATGGGAAGGATATGGATATGGGAAGGATATGGGGTAGGGGAAGGTCAGATTTTGATATTTTTTTGGTGTTTCAAAAACAAATAGTTTCAAAATATCTGTAACAAGTATTTTGTTCTTTCTATATCCGTGTTATTTTTTTTAAAAAAATGTGGGCAAACAAATAACAACAACAATAATAATAAAATTATCGAATTCAAAGTTATGAAAAATGAATAATTAATGATTAATTCTCTCTCAATTATATATTATTTAGTTACAAATGTATTTAAATTTCTTCTTTATTTTTTTGTGATGTTACATTTTTCAATTTTTTTTATGG